AATATCTGAACAAGGAGGTTCCAATCAAGATGGTGGAGTAGGAAAACACTGTGCTTGCCTCCTCTCATGACCACATTGAAACTACAACTAAAATATAGAACAATCAACCAGGAGAACCATTGAAGACTAAATGAACAGAAGTCATAAGACTAAGGACATAAGGATATAAGGAAGAAGCCACCTTGAGAGTGGTAGGAGGGGTGGAGATTCAAAAAGGGCTGGCCCTGCAACCACATGTGGCAGTCAAGAATAAGGAAGAAAACCACCTAGGAAGACCAGGTGCTGTAGGCATAAAAAAATTTTAAAAATAAGGGATTGTAAAGTGACAAGGTCCTTGCAATCTGTGAGGTCAATCAAGGGTTGCCTCAGGAAAGAAGGAAAGAAAGAAAAGAAAGAAAAGAAGGAAACAAGGAAAGAAGGAAAGAAAGGAAAGAAAGGAAAGAAAGGAAAGAAAGGAAAGAAAGGAAAGAAAGGAAGGAAGGAAAGAAGGAAGGAAGGAAGGAAAGAAGGAAGGAAGGAAGGAAAGAAGGAAGGAAGGAAGGAAAGAAGGAAGGAAGGAAGGAAAGAAGGAAGGAAGGAAGTCCAAGTATTCCACAGTCCAGTTGAAGCATATACTGTCTATTTCTCAGGTGGGAAGCAAACCCAGAGCAGGGCATGTGCAGGGTCACACAGTCAGAGATGGTTCTTCTGAGTGACTGCTTCTAGGAGCATTGGGCTAGAGGTGGGCCTCATATCTCGGCCTTGTTCCTGTATGAGTACTACAAAGAGAGATTGCTGGAAGCAGCCTTGGTGGAAATGAGCCCTGTGTCCTGGAGAAGCCAAAGCTATGCCCGGCTTCTGCAGAATGGTGGAATAGCACTGGGCGGGGGAGTATGTGCCCAGCTGGAAAATTGCGGGGCATCTTGTCTTAAATATAATATTAAATTGGCACCTTTAATTAGTACACTTAGAAAAGGTCACTAGCAATTACCTGGGACACAAGGAAGGCGTGAGCAGGCAAGAGCCCGTGAGGAAGCTGAAAAAGACCATTTTGAACAGCACATAATTGCGGGAAAAATGGATAAAAGTCCAGGAAATTACAGGGTGGGTGACAGCAGCTGATGGCCCCATCCCTGTCCTGCCCAGTACCCCCCTTCTTGGGAGGGCCCGAGCTTCAGATCTGAGAGAGCCATTTGGGATATTGGGCCTTTGTGCGACCTTGGCTGGAGTGCTGCTTTCTCAGAACCCCATCGGCTAGCCAGGAGCTTGGCCCTATACCTTCCACCTGGGCTGGGCCTGAAAGGAGGTTGGCAGGTGACGCGTTCAGTCCAGGGGGCTACCATGGACTCATTGCTGATCTGTGGACAAGCAGGGCCCCTATAGACCCCAATTTTCTCATGTGGAATATCCCCAATTTTCCAGCTCAGTGTTCCTCAAACTTGACCACTAAAGGACCCCTGAGGGTAACAGAAAGGAAATGTGTATCCCTGGAAGTCAGGGCGAGGCAGTAATTCTTTTACAGCTTTAGGTCGTATCTCAAAAAACAAATGTTATATCGTATTTCTGATGCATTTCTGTTTGCTTTAGTATAAAATAATTTCTTGTCATTGAGTAGCACAGATGCTTTGGGAAGACGTGCTTGGTTTTTCTATGACTTCACATACCCCCTCCTTCCTATTCTAAAAGGAGCACTGTACTAGGAGTCTGAGAGTCTGGAAACTTGGGTTTGAGTCCTGACTCTGTTGTTCACCATCATACTTTGGGGAAATTGCTAAATGCCTTCAGCTTCTCCATCTTTAAAATGGAAAGATGGGCTTCTCAAATAGTCTCTAAAGTTGTTGCAATTCTGTTTCATGATTTTATTCCTCCTTCTCCTGCTTCTCACCTTCTCCCATCACCTTGGATGCTGCCATGTCCTACTCGGCTGTGTGACCTGGGAGAGACTACTTTGCCTCTCTGAGCCTCCACTGCCTTATCTGTAGAATGGGTGGAATGATGACTGCCAAACAGGATTGCTGGGAGGATTTAATGAGAGAGCCCTTGTGAACAGGCTGAGCACCATGTTTGGCATATCACATTTTCCTTTTCCAAATGTTGGGCTTCCAGTTACAGTCTGATAGGGTCATGCCCATGGAAGTCCTAAATCTTAAGTTTACACATCAAATGTTGAGAGGTATAAAGTTGTGAAAACAAATTCAGGCTCTGGGCCCAGAGTGCCTGGGCTTTGAATTCCAGCTCCGCCCTTTGTAACTGTATGGCTATCATAAATTACTAATCGCCCTTTATTGCCTTATCTGTTAAATGGGGAAAATGATAGTAAGGAATGAATTAGATAATACATGGAAATTTTTTAGCCCAGTGTTTGAAGTGTGGTCAGTACTTAGAAATGTTAACTATCATTGTCCTGTTAGAACTGTCCTTTTAAAAGATGACCTGGAAAAGTTCATTAATGTTCTTTTCTAGATAACATTCCCAGAGTTTGGAATTCTGCCTTACTTAACTTGATCATCAGAGTGATTCAGTAAATACGAGAGTCAGTATTCAGAGAAGCAAGAGTGCCTGTTCCATTTTATAGGGTAAACTGAAGCTTTGAAAGAAGTGGTTTGGCCAAGGCCATCGTTCTAATCTGACCACTCCTTTGAGAATCAGATGAAGGCTATAGACCCCCTCTGCCAAAAATGACACACTACACTCCTAGCATTTTGCACAATTCATAGGGGTTTAAGGACTTTTTGAAGCTAAGGTAACCAGATCGTTCAGTTGCCTGAGACCTCCTGGTTTTACTACGTGTCCTGTCTCAGTCCTAGACAAACTAGGGTAGTTGGTCACCCTACCTGATGGCTACTTAGGGAGGGCTATGAACGACAGGAGAAGATGCCCTACACTGAGACTTCTTGGACAGGGCTGCAGGCCAAGCATCCTGATGCCCAAGGTGCTCTGGCCAGGGCTTTGTTTCCTGGTAAAGGGTGATACTTTGGTCTTCTTGTGAACAGGAACTAGGCCTTGTCACCCAGTGCTTACCACAAGACCAGCACCTAGCCACTGTTGAATAAATGACAGGTTTTGCAAAGTTTTCTGAATTAGAAAGAGTGCTTCAATTTGCAAAAGACCGAAATCCAACTCAATTGACTCAGGCAAAACAAGAGTGGGGATTTATTAGCTCATGTAGCTGAGGAGACCAGAAGATGGAGCTAATATCAGGCATAGCTGGCTACAGACCTTCATCATCAGGAATCTCTGTTCGTGCACCATTTGCTTCTATTGTCCTCCTTGTTGGCCTCGTTCTCAGGCAAGCTCTTCCTGGTGCCAAAGACGACTGCCAGCCGTGCCAATTTAGCAACCCCAGTGGAAAGAGAGCTCCTCTTTCCCAATAGTTATAGCAGAAGTCCCAGGGTTGGCTTTGACTGTCTACATTGGGTCACATGCTCATCCCTGAGCCAGTCACTGTGACCAGGAAGATGGAATGCTCTGATTGGCTTGGGCTGAGTTATGTGCCCATCTTGAAACATAAGAATGGAAGGATTGGGGGCCTGCTCTCATCTGAGCCACTTGGAGAAGGAGGTCTCCAAATTAAAATCAGAAAAAGGAGCAGGCGGGAGTCACAGCTGTCCATTATACCCCCAGAACATGATAAATGATGTTTCCCTGTTATAAGCACATCCACATTGTGACATGTGGTCAGGGTGGAAGTGGAGAGCCTGGGTTATAGCCAAACACAGGATCTTATGGTAGCCAGTGACCTGCTGGAAGTCTGTTGGGTGGCTGCTCCCTGCTGGGATTCAGCCACCTGAGCAAGGTGCTAAGGAGTGGACCAGCTTCCCATCTTTGCCTTCTTCTCTCTCCCTCGGATATTCTAGGTTCCTCTGTGACCCAGTTGCTGGCCCGAGACATGGACAATGACCCCCTGGTGTTTGGCGTGTCCGGGGAAGAAGCTTCCCGCTTCTTTGCTGTGGAGCCGGATACAGGTGTGGTGTGGCTCCGGCAGCCGCTGGACAGAGAGGTAAGACCTGACCAAATGCCTGCCTGGCCCTTGTTTTGGGGGTGGGGGAGGAGGAGCAGACTCTGGAGGAGGGTGGGTCATCATCTTTTAGGGACCATCTTCTGAGGCCCCATTCTGACCCTGAAGTAGCATCTTCCTGCCTGAATGTTATCCCTCTTCGAGGGCCAGTGTCGATGTCTGGACTTGGGGGTGGAATGGGGTATTTGGGGGTGTCTTCAAGGGAGGGACAATATTGGCTATGCATGAGGGACAATGATTCTGGGTTCATCCCTTATAGTATAGAGGCTCCATAGGGTGTACAACTCTACTCCTGCCCCAAACAAATGTCCCTACGAAGGACATTTTCCAGAGGCACAGGAATTGATGACCCTGTAGTCCTTAGCAAATTAAGGTAAGAATTTGAACAAAACCCCAAACCTTGTTCTCGCCTTACATTTGAGGAAGTGGCCACAGAGGTGTCCAGTGACTAATTTAAGGTAGCACGGCAATTTAGAGGCAATGTTAAGATTAGAACCCAAGACTCTTCTAATCTGTTGCTCTTTTGGGGGAGAATCCCTATTCTGAACCTGTTTCCCTAACCCAAGGGGCACTGCTCATTTTTTAGGGAAATCTTAGGGTACCTAGTCCCAGACCAGCTCCTTGGGCAATGCCAGGGGTCTCTAGCTCCACCCAGGGCTCAGGACCTAGAACTCCAATATATCTAATCCTACCCTCCTTACCCCTTCTCCTTTCTTTCAGACCAAGTCGGAGTTCACAGTGGAGTTCTCTGTCAGCGATCACCAGGGGGTGAGTGTTCCCTGAGGCCCCTGCTGCCCTGGGAGGAGAGTTCCAGGGCCCCTTGGGTGGAAAGAAGCCAGAGGCCAATGCCAACACTGACTCCCTGTCCTTCTCTTGCTAGGTGATTACACGGAAGGTGAACATCCAGGTTGGGGATGTGAATGACAATGCACCCACATTTCACAATCAGCCCTACAGTGTCCGCATTCCTGAGGTAGGAGCCCCTGAGTCACACTTGGGGGACATTGGGGACCTATTGCTTCAAGGCCACCTAGGAATGGAGTAAAGAGTCAGCTTGGGCAAGGGCAGGCCCAGCTTTTTTTCTCCCACCCACATCTCAACCCAGGTACCAGCTCTGGGCAGGTTGAACATGCTGGCACCTCTGAGGGTAGGGGCCCATCTGCTGGTCAAGGAGAGTAGGTTGGTGGGAGCTTCATGCCTAAGAGAGAGCCTGCATTCGATCAGCCCCACACCTCTGCCTGGAATCTGGAATTGGGGACAAGACAGAGGTGGAGAGGGGCAGGTGTTGAGCCCTCTTTTCTTCCATTCATAGCTAGTATGGGCATTGGGCAGGTGTGTTGGCAGCCTTAACCCCAGGCCTTCCTACTTTGGCCAGAAAAAGTCCCTCCAGACTGGAGGGAGCATGTGGTTCCAAAAAGGGACTTTCTTTCTCTAGCCCTGTATTTGCCTTCTGTCCCCCTGGCTCTTGGCTCCTTTGGGTCGTCTGTGTACTCTGAGTGTGTTTGCATGAGTGCGTGTGTGTAAAACCAAGCCATTTCTGGTAATTGAGAAGTACAAATTATTGCATTATAAATGGTTCGTTAATAAGTTGGCTGCTGGCTTCCAATGGCACCAGAGTTCTCATCGTTTGCTGTCCCTCTGCCTGCTGGCTGATGGCAGACCTTGAAGGTGGTGGGTAAAGGGCTTTGAACTGGGAGTCCCTCAGGCCTGCCCTCAGGGCTCAGGGCTGGGCAGCAGTGAAGGGTAGGGATGGGAATGATGGGAGTGGAATCCACAGGAAAGAGGCAGTTTGACACCATGGCATTTGGGTTCTAGCCCCTTCATTTTATAGGTCATTGGATCAGGAAACTGGAAGAGTCTTTAGAAAACATCTATTTAGTTTATAGATGAGTAAACTGAGGCCCAGGGTGGGAGAGTGACTTGCCAAGGTCACATAGCTTTGACTGTGAGCCTCCTGACTCCCAGTGCAGCCTCAGATTCCCTCAAGGATGAGGGACCTTGTCTCATGCCCCCCAGGTTCCTGTTCCTGGCCCTCCTTACTCAACTATGAGCCAAGGGTCTGTGCTTATGTCAGACGGAGAAAAGTGAAGACAATTATGGGGTGAGAACACAGCAGTCTCCCATACCCCTCCTCTGGTAGGGCAGGACATAAGGAGGGAGAGGCCGCAGTCCCAAGCATGGGGCCACAGTGCTTTGAGCTGTGGCCAACATGCCCAGGACTGCAGCTTGGCTCTGGGCCCCCTCTCATTTGGAAGCCTCCCTAATTTAATTAAGGGTCTCTACGTGCCAGCCTGCACTCCAGGCCCAGGCTCAGAAACCAAGGGCATGGCTCAGAGTTAATGAGCCTTGGACCCATTGCTCAGCTGCCATCCTGGCAGGCATGGCTGCCCTCTGCCTTCCCTCATAGGGGCAGCAGGCAGCAGTGATGGCAAGGGGACGAGAGGTCGCAGTCCTCCTCCCCTGCCCTGGACTGAGGCCAGCCTTTTCCTCTCTCCCTCGCCAGGAGATGTAAGCTCCAACACCACCCTGTGAGACTCCCGTGGGATTCTCCAAAGGCCTCTGTCTCTGAGGAGAGAGCCTCTTCCATCATTCATTTATTTAACAAATATTTATTGAGTGTCTGCTGTGGGCTTGGTGCTGTGCCAGGCGCTCACTGCACAGGGACCTGGAAGCCGGAGGAATGTGTAGTGATAGGAGCCAGAACTAGCAGCAAGAGACCTCAGGCCCAGCCCTTGCTCTGCTTCTACATTGCTGGGTCCATGTGGGCATGTCACTTAACCTCTCTGGGCTATAGCCCTCCTTATCTAATAAAAACAGAGGACAAGTGGGATAAAGTGACCTACCTCCTGCCCATCTGATGAGGACAGGGTGGGCTGAGAGGGGCCATCTACAAGGACACAGAGTCCTTGGAGGATGGCCTGCATGGTTTACTTTCTCATGTGTAAACATCCCTGGGTCACTTCACTGGCCTGATACTTGATCAGGGCTGCTTGGTGTGGCCAGTGGGGATGTGGTATCAGCTGGATGGAGGCCGGGCCACTCCTGACCTGAGGTGGCTTGGCACTGATCAGTCTTGGCCTGGTGTGGTCACCTGAGCTAGAACTTAGCTGCCTGGCTCAGTCCCCAGCTGGGGTTCTAGCAAAGGACCTGCTGGCCCCTAGCCTGGAGTTGAGCCCAGGGTCTTCTGTTTGCATTGAGGTCACCCTGGCAACCCTAGGCCCCTGCCCTTAGGAAGTGTGATTTGTGGAAGATGGGGAGAATGCAACTCAGAGAAACGGGGCACTGTAGACCCTGTGAAGCATCAGTGCTGAGGGTTTGCCAGTGGTCAGAGAAATATCAGAGGAGGTGTGTTTTTAGCAGAATCTTGCCAAGGTGAGCAGTGTAGTTCCTGTATTGTATCATGGGAAAAGGGAGATAAGAGGTCAAGACACCTGGGTTCTAGTTCTGACTGTGCCAACAACTGGCTGGGTAAGACTCTCTAGACCTCGCTGTCCCTCTGCTGGCTTCGATTCCAGTGGCTGTTAAACTAGGGAGTTGAACTAGGCCCCTTCTAGAGCTGACACCCGTGATCTGAGGGTAAATCAAGCATGAGAAACTCCTTTTCCCTTGGGACTTCATTATTACTTGAGAGGTGGCAGAGAAGCTCCCGTGGCTGCCTCCTTACACTCAGCTCCCCTCTTGGCCATCCCAGCCACCTACACTCTACCCCTTACCTTCCCAACCTCCATTCCCCCAGCCCTAGGGGCCCAGATCTGTTTGGGTCTATTGTGCTCAGAACCCAGAGAGAGGCATGGGGAGCTGGTTATAGGGAGGCAAATTCTAGGTCTGAATAATGAAGAACTTTCTAGATGAGACCCACCCCACGATCTACTCCCCTGCCCTGCTAAGGTTGTTCTGAGCTCCCAGTCCTGGAGTTATGCAAGCAGAAGCAAGAGAACCACATATTTCAGAAGCCATCCAGTCCTGAGTTTTGGAGAAGTGATGAATCAGAGGCTCCCAAACGTACCTTGTAAGAATTTCTTGAGGGACTAGTTAGAATGCATATTCCCAGACTTTTGCAATCCTGAATCAGTGGTTTGGGGAGAGCTGGCTGAGGAAGCTGCATTTTTCACAAACTTCCCTGGTGGCAGCGGGCCCTGGAGGATGACCTCCATAGGCCTCGCCACCAGAGGGTTTCAAGGAGCTGCTGGGGCAACCCATCTTTGAGGATAACTTTTTTAGCCCATCCACAACTGCCTGGAGACATGCCGAATGGGGACCCATAACCTCAGGCTGGAAAAGGAGTGGGTGGGAGAGAAGTCAAGGCCAGGTGCTGCCCCTTTCCTGGGAGAAGCTCACCTGCCCCAGCTCACCCAACCTTGCCCCCTCTCTCTCTGAAAGCCTCGCACCCTGGCCTCAGAAGAAGCCAGGCAGGTGTGTTTGGGTTTGTTTGCTCTTGGTTCCCCTCCTGCTCACCCCTCTCCTCTCACTAAACTGTTCTCCATGTAATTATCCATTTTATCAGGGTGAAAGGCCCTGCAATTCACTTGTCGAAGCCCTAACGAGGCAGTGTGGATGCTTTCAAGTCCGTAAAGAAAAGGGAAATCCTGCTAGAATTGGCAACTTAATTCACCAAGCCAGCCTCGACAGACCTCATTAAGTCCCCGTGTATTCATTTCAGGCTAATGGCTGTCACGCTGACTGCTGTTTGATTTGCTGTAATAGACTTTTATGTCGTTCCAATTTGCTCAAACGTGTTTGCCTGTGTCTGTGCCCAGCAGTACTGCTCCAGTACCTTCGTTCAGGTGCATGCCTGCCTTACTGACCTTCAGCAGTGCCCCATCCCACCCCATCCCCCTCCTCCTGGGGCCAACCCCTCAGCCCTTCAGGTGTGCCCCAGAGTGGTGTCCTTGGGGCCTGGGGTGTTTGGGCTGGAGGATGGGTGTGAGGTTAGAAGTCAGATGGTGCCAGGTTCCTCCTTGAATCAAGGAGTCAAGGAGAGCCTTTGGAGTCTTGGGGACAACCATGTCCTTGAAGTTCTGACAAATTCAGTCGCCTTAGCTGGGCAGTCGAGTCTTTTCTCCATTTGGCCTCAATCTACCCCTCTCAACTGATCTTCTGGTAGTACACCACATGAATCCTTCTGCCAGCCCAGAGGTCGATTCAACGTGTCTGAGCTTATGTTCGTGTCTCTTGCTCTGACACACACTCTATACTCTTCTAACGAGTACTGGAGTATTTTTCCTTCTCTCAGCCTAACTCAATTCTGCCTGTCTTTCAAAGCCCACATTGATCCACTGTGCCCTGATCCACTCAATTTTTTTTTAAATGAACACAACAAACATTTGTTGAACAACTACAGAGCAGGGCCCAGGGATTCTAAGCCGACTTGGACATGTCGGGTAGAGAAAAAGGACTGCCGTCGGCCAGCTGTGCAACTTTGGACAGTGACTTAACCTCTCTGGACCACAGTTTTCTTATCGATAAGATAGGCAACAATATTCGCCTTGTGGTGTCATTGTGAGAGCTGTAATAACGCAGGTAGGAAAAACTATTAGCCCACTTTGTGGCTTACAGTATATTCAGTAAAATGATGGTGACTAAGACCAGGATCTTGTCCTCAGGGAAGGTAATTTTACAGAGAGAAAAACAAGTAAGTGGGTGTCTAACTACATTTAATGTATTAAATGCCACGATAGCTTAGGGTATGCAAAGTGGGATAGAAGCACTGTGGATGGAGTGACCTGGTCTATATACAGGGGCTATATGGGACCTTACAGAATGAGTAGGCATTTGTTAGCCAGGGAATGAGATTATTGTGTTTCTGAATATCATGTACTTTCTGAGACCTTTTAGCCTCTTTTCACATATTGGAAGTTTCCAAAGACAGAAGTGAACTCTACCCCCGACCAAGGGTCCTGCTGAGGAAGGACAGGGGCTGTGTGGCTATGTGCATCCCTCACAGGTGCCCACTGTTACCTTGTGGAAATAAAG